GAAGTGCGGTATTTGTCCTTGGCGGTTTTGCATCTCTGCATGATCGTGTGATTCCTCCCCCGCTTCCCTGCCCCATGTAACAGAGGGGTCTAAATACAGTTAGAAGAAATCAAAAGTCTTTTTTGTTAGACACTTCAAAGACAGTGTTTACAGTGCTTTGGTAACTTGCATGGGTTTTTTGGTGGTGATTTGTTTGTAGGTTGGTTTTTTATATATATATTTTAGTGTTTTTGAATACCATATGCAATTTTAAGAATTGTTTAAACCACTTGCAGTTCTGTGTTATCATCTCTTAAAACTGTTATACCTGATTTTATTCTGGATAGCCAATGTTCTGTAACTGTTCTGTCATGAATTCCTACAGGCAAAAGCTATGTGCCGGTTTTTACAGTGTTCACCTTCCCAAGATGTTAAAATATTTTCTAACAACTCTGTTATTTTTATGATCTCTTGAGATATTTGGTTTGTAGTGATGGTAGCTGCAAGTTTTTACATCCGGAGGTCCAGTGTGGAAAGGATTATTGATGCTTTTGGAAAACAGCCTATATGATAAGTTCCTGTGAGAATGTCTTTTATGAGTATTTGCATTGCAGATTAGAGCTTTAATTCTACTTCAGACTCTGAGACTTGCCTTGAGATCTGGTGAAATTGGCAAAACCATAGGGTGGATCACTTTGTAGAGGTAATGCAGGAAGAATAGCTGCCTCCATTTCCAAATACTTGAGGTTAAATTGTCCTCGGCCTTCAACGATGAGTGTTGTTTACTTATATTTAGCCAGAACCTAATGATTAAAGAGGAAGAACCTGATGATTAAATAGGAAGAAAATACTTTAAGAAGGGTAGAACACAGGTGAAGATCTTAATCTTCTTGAAGATTGCTGTTTTAAACACCATAGAGGCAAAAGAAGGGGAAAAAACCCCAAAAATAAACCCCAGACCACTGGGAGTGTAAGCTTTAATTTTTTACTGTAGGTGAAGTGTGTGGCCAAGAAGTTCCTTTCAGGAAGACTCATTGCTTTAATAAGTAGGACCAAATAAAAAAGTTGCAAACTGAAGTGCCTATTGGAGTTGATGTCTGACAAGGCAAGACATAATCTCTTTGGAGTGTTTGGTCTTTTGCTCTGAATCTCGTGTGTCAGCAAGAGAAGTGCTATGGAATTCTGTATCTGGAGAATATCTCTCTATGTACAGTCTGTCTGGCAATGCCTCTTCACTGCTTGGGTTGGTAGGCTTCAAAGTATTTGTTTTCTGGCAAGAAAAGAAATTCAGTGAAGACAGTGGCAGGCAACTATCTCCCAGGTTCTAGCAGAAAATTGAGCAGTAAATTTCTGTTCTAAAGCGTTATAACTGAAATCATTACTTTTACTGAGGCTTTTGGGGGAAGTACTGTAGAGGATTAAGCCAGTCACAAGCAGATCTCAAAGATGTGAGGAAGAACTGCTTTTGTGAGATACCAACTTTCTGTACTCTTTCTCTTTTTTTACCTTGTTTTTTCTCTAAACCATTCAAAAAAACACTGAGTTTGAGAGTTTGCTAATAGACTTTCTCAAGTTCTGTCGGTCTGTCCAGATTGCTAAGATGCAAGCCATTTGTTTTCAATTGTGACTTAAGAGCTGGGCTATCATCCAGTCTGTGCTTTTACAGTTTTGTGTTGGAGAAGAGCTAATATTGGTTGCTTATAAACAAATGGTTGCAAGATAGAGTAAATATTACCCATAGGCTGTCTCTAAGTATAAATAGATTTTGAAGCAAGGGAGTGAAAGACAACGTTCTTTAAGATAATTATTAGTACTGATATTTGAAGGTACTGCTTCAGGTTTTTCATTTTACTATCCGCCAGCCAGGCGGAGTTGCTGGTATTTTTAGATCTCTTATGGCAATATTTTTTTTTTTTTCTCATTTCATGCAGTCTTCAGTTTCCTTGCAGGATAGTTCTGCAGGGAGAAAGGCACCTATTTGTATTTTGCACCGAGTTCTTAGATGAGTCTCCTTCCGTGAAGCAAAGCCCACAATAAATTAAAAGCGGGTTCTCGACTTGTGTGTTAAAATGCAGAAGTTAAACAGAGACCCTTTCTCTGGTTGCCCTCCCAATAAGCTTGCACCTGTTTTGAAATATCTAGGCAGTCTGTTACCCCCTCCCCCTTGAACAATTTTAAGTGTATTTAAGGGATCTCCTAAATAGAGAAGTATTGTCTGTGGTGAGTTGCTAGTCCTGTCTTCTGATGTTTACACATCCAATCATTGCTCTCTTGGCCAGTGAGCTTGGGGCCAGGTGAAGAAAAGACTAAGCAGCAGTCTAAACCGAAGAATGCAGAAGGTTTTAACTGCTTGTGGAGTTTCTGCTCCTCTGAAACAGCGAAGAAAGTTGTTTTCACTTGTTTTTAGTGGATTTAGCCGTCCCCAAATTCTTAGTATGCTTCTGGATATCCTTATCTGTAAAGATCTTTGATAGTTGATCAGATTGAGGATTACAACTTGATCCTATTTAGAATGAATGAAGATGATATTGATTGGTATTGAGCCATAGCTCTGTGCTCTGTTGTAATACTTTGGGAATAGTAGTGTCTAGAAAAGAGGAGTAAAACCCTTTGAATTTCAGTGATAATTCTATTGTGTTTTGTAACTTTTGTGTATATAATATTTTTTTTTAAGCAGGAGAATATAGTATATTACATTTATTTCATAATCTGAAAGAAGAATAACATTTGGAATAATGGCAACAGGAGACCTAAAAGGAAGTTTAAGAAAAATAGAACAAGGACTCCGGTTGTTAAATTATCCAAGAGATGTGGATTATACAGTGTAAGTGGCAGTGTAAATAAATTTGTGGATGTGTAAACAAGATATGTAGAAAAATTGTCTTTGTACCCAGTGATGAGTAATAAGAGCCTGCGTCTGTGGGAAGCTGGGGTTTGATACATGTGAACTGGAAGATAAAGGGATGCAGTTCTGCTGTTCTGAGCAATCCTTAGACTAATCCTGAAGTCTGTCAGTATCTTGCTCTTCTGCTGTTTTTCTCTTTTCTTTGATTAATCTCTCACCTTTATAATTTCTTTGTAAATGCTAGCAAAACTTTATTCAGGAAATTTTGTCCTGTAAAGATTTGGGGGAGGGGGGCGGGAAATAAATGTGTTGAACATTGAAATGGAAATGCTGGTGGACTTTAGACTGGCCAATATTAAAACTATATGAGAATCACAAAAGTATTTTGAGCATTTTGCAGGTAACAGTAAAGACTGCTGAAGGAGATATGCCTGGGAAAAAAACTTAAAATGAAGGATATACTTGGATATAATATACTGGCTGTATTAAAACAACCTTCAAGTTAAGTGTTTGAATTTGTGCAATGAAAGGCTTTTGTTGTCTTCTGCAGTGTAACATACTTTTGTTTCTCGACAGGTTAGTAAAGGGTGATCCAGCTGCATTTTTACCTATCATCAGCTATTGTTTTACATCTTTTTCAACTTACGTAGCGGAACTTTTGGTAAAGTGCGATGTGGAGCTCACAGCAAAGAGTGACTTGCGTTTTATTGAAGCTATTTATAAGGTAGCTGTCTTCATGTTCTTTGCAGAAGAGACCGTTTTGAGTATGGCCTCATAAAAATTAAACATCTAGTATGAGTTTTACTAGGAAGTGAAAATTTTTTTGGCAATGAATGTGACTTGTAATTCTGTTAGGATTTAAGATGAGTAGTGAGTCACTGTGTGGCAAGTCTTTAGATTTTTGTGAAAGCAAGGATGGATGTTGTTAGCCAAATCTCAATTTTGAGACAACTGCAGAAACAGTAATATTATTGCTTTATGTTAGTCTTCAAGAGTACAGAAATATTTATTACACAATAATGGACCTTAGAAGAAATCATAACGAGTAAAAAATCATAACAGCAAACTTCAATAATTGTAATGAAAGCACAATTAAGAACTACAGCTATTTTAAAACCATGGCATATTAATATATAAAGTCCAATACATAACAGTTTGGTATCAAATTCTTAACTGAATGAAAATAACTTTGAACTATCCTTAAAAATATCCATAAGCACATTTTTGTAAAAGGTGGCTTGATGTATTAATGAGTACTGGCTTGTTCAGACTAGTTTTCCATCTGAGGAGGCCAGAGAGCTCTTTACAAAGCGGCCCTGTCAGAGCCTTACTTAGCCCTCTGACGCATTTGCTGAGATTAATACAACTTTTTATTGTGCATTCATTTTGGAAAGCTTTTGTTTAACTTTTTACATATTAATGTCTACAATCATTTATTTCATGAATCTTATCTGGAAGTTAAACTTCTCAAGAGTGATGTGAATGAAATGTGTCTGGAAGAGGTATATTTAAAATCTAATTAGGAGAAACGGCTGAGAATGTGTAAATAACCAAATGAGAAAAGGTTTAACTGCTGAAGTGCAGAATGAAAGAAGAGACTGTAGAAAAATAAGAACCTGAGCATGCCGTTTCTACAACAAATTGCATAGTGATTTTGAAAGTGAAGTAAACTTTTACTTTGTTGCAGCTTCTTCGAGATCAATTTCATTATAAACCGATTTTAACAAAACAGCAGTTTCTTCAGTTTGGCTTTGCAGAAAGAAAAATGCAGATTGTTTGTGACATTATCAACTGTGTGGTGAAAAAACATAAGGAATTAAGTAACTCAACTAAGGTACTGATTAAATGGTAACTTTATTATGAGATGAATTTCTTTTGACATACTTGATGCCACAGGTAGAAGGGGAAGACAAGTTTATTTGAAGATGCAGCATTGCTGATAGTCAAAATAGGGGGAAAATTAGTATGAAGTTCCATTGTAAGATGCTTGAGTGCTATCAGGTGTACAAAAGACATGAAGCTGCCAATGCTTTGTAGTATTAAAAAAAAAAGTATTAGAATGAAGATAAATGTAGTACTTGGTATCTTCACAGGAAGCGATATTTTTTTTTTTACACTCCTCAACATAGTTAATGTTTATGTAACTCGACAGACTTTGCAGGTAGATTTAAAAACAAAGCAAAACTGTCTGATATGTTGAAGTTCTGGTAACATGTAATTTAAACATGACACTTGTATTTGTGTTTCAGAGAGATACGTCTCAAATCTGATTATTTTCATTAATCATGTTTGTTTTACATTGTTAAGGCATTTTTTTATCAGTGTATGCTGTGTATCAATGTGTGCTTTAATAAAGGGAATTTTCAGTCTTCATATTTTTCCAGGATTTTTCTTAGTTGGAGTTTATAACAGTCTTCAGGACTTCGGTGTACTTCATTTGTTACTTTTGGAGGCATAACTACAGGGTTTTTTGTATTTCTTTGTCTTTCAATTCTGGTGCAAGTTGTCTCCTATTTACGACCAGCTTTGATGCAACCTTGCATAAGCATTAATGGGTGTATGAATATGGCATTCACTTCCAGATCTGTTTTCTCTCTAAATTTGGGTCATACTTAAACCTCTGCAGTACAATAGAGTCTAAAAAATTAAATGTGTTTGTGTGTGCCATGCAATATTCCTGCCTGTTAATGAGGGCAGAAAATGGGGTGTGTCATCCCATCCCCATGTTGTTGTGTTGTGTCCCCCCTCCCAGAAAATATTCCTGTGTTAGAAGCGTAATATTTTCTTTTATAATATATATATTAATATATATGATATTTCCTATTCACTTCAAAGGTTAAATCCCAAACGAGGAAAAAACCCAGATCTTTTAAATGTGAAGTATGGTCAAACTGTGATAATTTGCTTGCTGATCCAAGTGGCGGTGCTCTGAAATCCAAACCGGTATAAAAATAGTTTTTATGTCTCATGTCTAAAGATTAGTATAATTTGTAGCAAGTCAGGCTCTTTCCGGAATATGTGCTTTCATTTAGGTTTTAATACTTGATCAGACCAGGCGGGGTTGTTTTGTTTGGGGGCTTTTTTGGGGGGAGATGAGTGAAGTTGGGTTTTCTTTGTTTGTGTGTCATGTCCCCCTGCAAGTGTGGTTGTCTGAAACATAGAGGATATTGCTTCTTTTACCAACTAGCTGATCTTAAAGTCTTGGTGGTAATGATCTAGTGCTGTTTGCCGTTTGAATTGTATCAAACGGAGAGACAGCAATGAAAATGAAGGTGCAATTGGAAAAACAATATGCATCCTGTTTGGCGATTCAAGTGTGTTTGGCCTAATACTGCAGTGTTTTCAAGGTAGCTTTCAAAACACTTCTTGCACAGATTTCTTAGAGTAACACTTGATCTTATGCATTATGCTAGTCTTGGCCTGTGGAGGAGACAGCTTTCCTAATATTTTCTGTTAAAGGGTGCAAAGTAAAACTGTACAAAACGTCTAGGACTGTGACTGCCCATTAAGTCTTGGTGATTTTTATTTAGAAGGAAAATGCTCCTCTTAGCAGTGAGGAAAACTTCACAAAGAAAATATTTAGAATGACTTATCTGGCACTTCTGGTTGTTGAATGGTAGAACTGAATGGTGATATATGTGATTGTATTAAGAATTCCCTAGAGGAGGAGAGTTTCAGCTTCACTAAAACATCTAGAAATCTGTAAGTGTTAAGATGCTGCACAAAACTAGTAACTGTGGGTTCTTAATCATTATCTGATTTATTTTGTTTTGTGGCAGGTGGTAATCATAGGACTTAATCCGCGTGGAAAGAAAGGCAAATTGTCTATTACTTTGTTTTCTCGAAGGGAAGCATTCAAAGGAAATGAAATGTGTAGCTAGTAGGGCTATTTTGCTGACAGTCATCAAGGAAAAGAGAGACTTCTAATATTCCCAGTTAAACTTTTTTTTCTGAATGTTTGAATGGTGGTTTTGATGTTGGAATTTTTATTAATATTAATTATTTTAT